ACAGTGCCAACAACATGACATTATGTTTATGGCGTTCGGAAATGTTCGCAGAAAGTAATTTTTGGACATCGTTTCATTTCGTTTGCTAATATGATGATATTTAACATGTCTGTCCTCAGTCTGTGGAGTGTGGTCATGTAATTTTACATAGTTTCCAATTTGAAAAATCCATTGCGTAGATTTAAAGATTTATGCACACATAGAGACGGACAGACAGCGACAGCGACTTTGTTTTATACTATGTGATGATAACGATTAGCAAAAGTACTACCAAAAACTACTACCATCTCAGCCTACATATGTGACGTACAGTGGATATACTATACCCACCGACGTAGATCCTATTCCTACGTCATTGGGTATAGTATATCCACAGTAGTATATATAACATATCTAGAGCAAGCTGCTTGGCGGCTGAAGTAGGTAAAAAAGATATACCCACGTGTTGTACGAAGTCGAGCAAACCTAAATATGTATTTGTTTCCACAAAGTAGTGAATAATACACTTCCGTCTACATTTTTGTCATAGCTATCTAATCGTGTCCATTGATATATTAAATACATTTGTGAATAAAGGATCTAAACAAAAACCGAACGCCTGAAATTCTTTTTCCTTTCATATCTATTAATCTATTTATAAATATAATAAAAATATACCTAATTGATCGAAGATACACGACAAAAACTATTATTGGGGACTTTATCATTATAATCACCCAAAGCAATTATTTTTAGATATGTTGTTGTTTTTTCTGGCGTTTGTGCAATCTCAGAAATGGATTAGCCTATTTGAATGCAGTTTTATGTACAGTAAGACACCGATTAACCCAGGGGTTCGGAATATAACGGAAAGACGTTTAGGAAATAGTTCAAGAAACAGCAGCTAATCTTTCTAATAATAAGCTCAAGGAATTCACTGAGCAAGAAGAAAACAAAATATTGATAGTTATATCGAAGAAAAGAAAGAAAGATAGTCTCGTTTAACGCTGTTTCGTTTAGCGCTGAAACTTATTGGAATGTATCCCCCGTGTTAACCTGGCTCTTACTGTACTTTCTTAGCCTTCCTCTGTCCTTAAAACATTTATATGTAACATCAATCTTAAAATATGATCTTTAAAATAATAAAGCCAGGGTATAAAGTTTAACCAGGTGCATTCCATATTCATCCATTAAAACAAACCCTTACTCGATTTCCTCGTCATCTGATCGTTGTTAATGTAGAGAGGGCGGGATGAAACAATATCCTAAATCCTACATTTGTCGTAACACGACACTGGAGCATTTAATTTGATGTCTCACACCTCGGAGTTAACGACTAATTTGTATCATTTTATTGCTGCGTTAACAAAATATCGGTTTGTTTTGTTGACAACGGATTAAAACATAATCTCTTGACTCTCTTGATTTAAGAACAGTTTTACGAGCTAACAGCGTTCACTACCGGAAAATATCGCGACGTATGTAATATTATGTTATCTGTGGTATTAGCAATACATTTTTAAAAACAAACTGTTACAATGTTTTTTTTTGTCTAATAATAATTAGGTTACAGAGGTTTCGCCTATATCAGCCGCCAAGACGATTGCTTTGTAATTTATATGTTGATTGAAGGATGAGGTATATTAGCGAAATATTTGGATGCATGGTCCTATGATACTTTAGTTCTCTGGAATTGCAACGCATAGGTATCATGATCATCAGATGATGACGAGATGCCTGTAATGCTGTTCCTGTAGGTGACAGTTGCCACTTATTGTCATGTAGAACGTCAGCTTGTTTGCCATTCGACTTATATTTATTTATTTATTCATAACAATAATTATTGTGTCGAATTTCAAAGTACAAAATTAAATCTAAATCTAAAATAACAATGTCAAAGTAATAATACCAATATATAAAAAAGAGTTCCGGTAGCAAACTAAAACACAAACTGTAGGAAATTGTTAAATAAGTATAAAGTTGCTACAAAAAATTGCCTCTACAAATTTTTAATGGTAGTGCAGAACCGCATTAAAGTCACTAGAGTTTATATCGGATTATCGTTGCCTGTCGTGTACAATTACTATACCGAGACAGCCCAATAGTAGAAGTATAAAAGTAAAATGTACACTGCAATGCTTTTGCCAGCAGCGGTTATTAAAAAATATAAAAAGTCTAAAAGTAATATTTTTTTCAATAACAAACAGTATGCATGATGTATGAGAGATCGTCTCATATTATCTCCAATTAACCCCAACGATACTTATGTGGATTTAAACATTTTCTAAATATAACATTTTGACGTAATGCAACCTCCCCCACAAAATAGCAAATAGGGTTGCCAACTTTAAAACACTTAGCCTAGGACGATGAAATCTAAAATCGGGTACTGATAAAAATTTCGTACTTTAGAACAATTTAGCCCTTTAACGATGTACATCATTTTCTTATGTTAAAATCTCGTAGAAAAATTATACCAAAACGAAAATGTCCTTGTATTGATTGTCAAAAATCTGTAACTCTAGTAAAGGCCGTAGCTGGCCTTTACAGCTTCCCCGGACGATAGAGAAAATGCAGATGGTACTCCAAACCCGCGGAAGGACATATGGAGCGGCTGAAGGCCAACTCCCACCTGACGGATATGACTTTAGTCTGAGGGCACCGCTAAGGGCTCGAACCTTGGCTCGGCCGTCGTAATTTCGAACCGTTTGAATTGGATGAGGGATCGTTCGGAAGGGTAAAACTATGCTGTTTGTACGAGGGTCCTTATACTGTTGGCATCCCTGATAGCAGATGTGTTGAAATGCGCGTGCGCACGTGCGCGGGATGCCGCCGGAAGAGCGTCTGCAAAATAAACGTTATTCCGAGATTTTAACGTCAAACACTTGGTATAATATGCAATAGTTTCTCAATCTGAAGTGTATGGCATAATGCACTCTGTAGTGTTGCCAATAATATCCAAATATTTCGATTTTTTATAATTTTTTATTGATAACAATTATTTTTTATAATTTTTGACAAATGTTTTATAATAAAATACGAAATGGAAAGATTGATATTTACTTTATTCACGTTTGATGTGAATAAAGTACATTTTTAACATAGTATGAATTACAAAAAACAACAGAATATATAAAAAAGAAGAAGCAAAAATACAATATTTATAAATTTCATACAGATCTGTCTTTCTTCTTTCTTCATTTCTTTTCCACAGTGATGCAAAAAGACACCATTAAATTACAAATAAATAAATAAAGAAATTTAAAAAAAATCCATATAATACTTTTTGTGTAATTCTTACTCAAATGTCTGAACAGTTCATTAATTAGAACTATGTATCATTTCGTTCAAGTTTAAAAACTTTCAAACAAAAGAAACAGCGTCAAAGTCGGTCCAGCGATAACACTGTAACTTGATGCGGTTTTCTATATGCCATAAAATCAGTCGATTGTCATGTCATCTTACTAAAATTATAAACGCGAAAGTTTGTGAATATGGATGGATGTTTGTTACTCGTCTCTCGTTTACGCAAAAATTTCGGAACGAATTTTGATGAAACTTTACAGTAATATAGCTTCTACACCAGAATAACATAGACTATAATTTAAAAATATATTATGTATATTGGGTGCAATATAACGATTAATGTCTAGTAAGTGTGATGCTGACGAAGTTGCGCGAGTTAGTATAACCACAGATAACATAATATTTAGTATAACAAAATATAAAAAAAAATATTTCGTACTACATTTTGGGAATATAACGCTATGTAAACTACGTATGTAATTGAATGATAGCAATTCATTATTATGTAATAGCATGCGTGTTTACGGCTATATAGCGATAATTTGTTGCGAATATACACGTTAAGAAGGCGAGGCTTTCCTGATTGATTACAGCGCATTGAGTGCAAAACGACGAAGTTTCCTACTTCCTACTACTGTGTTCTAATATATGAACAAAAATGTAGACCCATAGAGCGAGAAATTAATAACTTTAATTAATCATAGATTAATTAATATAGTATAGATTAAATACGGTGCAATTTTATTCATGAGTATGATTGTATCGGTCTGGGTATTTTCTATGTATATTAAGTATATATTTACAAAAAAATATCTATATATTTATATCTATCACTTGTCTAGTACACACCAATAACATAAGCTATGTTTACCGTGGGACTAGATGGTGCTGTGTTAATTGTCAAGGGTTATTTATTATTTATTTATTATTATTAAAGTGTTCGCCGTCCAACTTTCTTTGTCTACACTTGCTATGTGACACATGTCATGTTAGTCCTATATAAAAGCTGTACGTTCGTACTCCAATTTGGTAATAGCACGATGTCAACGAGATGATTTATGAGGCCAGTATAATGAATGTTCTTGTTGTACTCGTAAGTGTATATCATCCAATAAATAGAATTGCCTTCTTACGTCATATCTCAGTTGCACCGGTCTGTGTCGATTATTCATGTTAAACGCGGCAATTTTTTGGATGGACGCACTGAGCAAGTAATCACTACGTCTTGTTGTATAATGCCTTTTTAGACCACAGAGCGTAGTAGTTTTCACGCTGTATCGTATAAAACTTTATGTAAGCGTATAAAACTTTATGTATTGTAATTTTGAAAATGGAACACCTATTTCGTCCCGGTCATATGGTAAACAAAAATATTAAACTGAGGTATGAATAGGTATGACCATTTTGTGTTTCCACATTTCTTTATTATTTTTTTTATTCTTTATCAAGAGTTTTTGTAGTGAAGAAGAAGTCTATCAACTATGTAATTATTAATGTATTAATTCTATATTTCCATATAAAATTATATATATACAATATTATTATTGTATTACTTATTTTACTCTTGATTATATTTTAAATAAATTTTATAGGTATATAAAGTAGAATTAGATTGATATCTTATCGAGCTCTGGTTTAAAATTCTAAAATGAATTAACGGGGCACTAAATAAATTTACTGAAATGGTTATTATTTATTTTTTTGTCTTGTTTCAGATTTCTTCCGGAAGTTATTAGACTCCTCGAGGCATAGTTTTCATAATATGTTCAAGCGGACCTACGGCATGATTTACGAACAGCACTCGTACATCTTCATTGATTTCTTTGACCAACTAGAGAAGTAAGTTTATTTTTTAAATTATATTTTTTTTTATTGATAAGCTTAAGATTGTCGCGTGGTTGAGTCACTGAACGTATTCGTACCATCTTCGGGCAGATTTTTTTTTATTGGGTTGTTTGGGCTTGTATTGTCAGATGTTTGTAGCACCTGTAGCACTACGACCCAACAACATAGGACGTGAAGCGGCGTTTCCTCTTCAGTTTGGCAGAATCTGCAGATTCGGGCAGATACTGAAAATCAGTGTTTCGCTCGTTGAGTTAATTAATCACCGAGTGCAACAACCCTTATCCTTGGGACATTTAATTATTTTCATGCTCGTTGTCATTATGCGTGTATAATTTAAAATGTATTCTGTTTTTTATATAACACTTGTTGTTCCCGCGGTTTCACTATTTTATTACTGTAAATTTTTATCAAAATCCGTCCAGTATATTTGCGTGAAACAGTAACAAACATCCAACTAACCATCCACACTCACAAACTTCGCCGTTGATATTAGCAAGTCTTTCTGATTATGAATAAATATTTTATCTATCTAACTTAGATACTGTACACTTTTTTATTTAACAAGAGTGGCTAGTTATTTTACACTGTGAATGAAGATGACACTGTTCTGACCACAAATAATCGGATGAATGCAAGCATGATGATGATCATGATAGTGATGAGAGCGATTTTTTACTATGTTTATTAAAATAGTCGATTTTTTTCGGTTGTTTAATAAAATTATGTTCTACGTATTTCAGGTATTATAACAAAGGGGATACAAACTTCGAGCAAATGATGGACAAATTCTTCACCATACTATACGAAAAGTTGTTCGCAGTGATAAATTCGCAGTACAATCTCGATGAGAGGTGAGTTTATTTATGAGTTCATATCTACTAAACTTAACATTATAAGCAATAATAGTAATGTTATAAATATATATTACATTTATACTATAAATGAATAATTGGTTATGATTTGTCGACTACATTGGCGTAGTAGGTTAACGTACTGCTTAAATTTTCAAGGATCGCGGGTTCAGTCCAAACATTTGTTCAAACAATACGTACACATCTACTTAAAGGTGTATGTATTATTTGCACAAATGAATACCTATGCATGGATATGGCTACTTGTACTCTAGAAGAACACACATATATATTGTGGATACAATTTAAATGTTACTTCTAAATATCATTTTTCCATACCTAATGAAAAGATTGTTAGTACAATCCCGTCAGAAGTCACTTAATTTAAATAAATTTAAATTTCGAACTTTATACAGAGCAATCAAATTATACAGATGTAAACACTGTAAGTAATAATGGATGACTTCTGGTCTCAAAGAGAAGTAAGCTTTATCGCTGTGAGTTTGTTCAAGCAACCTTATATTATGCTTTAATTTGCAAAAATTATAAAAAAATTTATGAATTACTCAATTTTTATATCTATAATTTGACGATAGACACATAGAGCATCGGCAATTTTTTAATCCCATAGTTCTTTTGGTGATATTTTGAAATTACATTACTAAACCAATTAAGGTACCTACGTTAGTGTTTTAAGAGGAATTCCTATTTAAGAGAAAAAATTAAATTAGGACTGTTATCAAAAGCTAAACATTGTAACCTATCGCAGGTCGGTAGCCACTTAATTATGTTATCATAATGCATTTTTTCATGGCAGTAAAAACGCGCTATCGTGCTTAATCGTTTGTTTACGTGCCAATAACAATAAAACTGTCCGCTCAAGTGTTTTATGTATCTGTCTTCATATACAAAGTGAGGCCAGAGTCCACGCGAGCTTATTATACTCTGTTGACCAATTCGAATTTCGATTAATTTTATTTTTTTTAATTTAACTACTCTACCAACGAAGATAACACTAGGCTGTATGGGCAATCTACCCTTGCCTGCTCCATCTTAAAAAAAAAGTCCTGGTTCATCTTTAAAAAAGGAATATTATTTATCAGTATTTTATCGTAGAATGTTTCATACATTCCATTACATTTTTTTTGCTTTGTCCCTTCAAACAATATGATTACAAATGTTTATACTATGCGAGGAATCGAGCCCGCAACCATCTGAAATAAAGTGGTGTCCTAAATCTCTAGACTACCGAGGCCGTCGAATATGAATATGAGTATGGATGGAAACAGACAAATACAAGAAAATGTTTGTTTAGTGAAATATTGGACACACTAATGTTTGCGAGTTCCAATTTGCTCAGAGCCGCATGGAAACAGAACAACTGTTTTTAGCTGTCTGCAAATAATCTTATCACAGTGAAACGACCTCTGAGCTTATATCAACTGTCTGCGTAACTAATTTACTACATTGTAAACGTTAAAAGTACATATATATATATTATTGATGGCCCGCGATTTTATGACCTCGATACAAAATAACATATAAATATTATATGTTGAAATAAAATAAATACTGAGATGGGCACTAAAACTTTAAAAGGCAATGAAAATGCTGACCAAACGACAAAGTTAGGGGCAAAACTAATAACGAGCACATTTCCTAAAACTGAGACTTCTCAAAAGAATAACCAAACGGGAAACACTGAATCACTGGAAGAATATGCCAGGATTAGTACAATCAGGAGCCCTAATAACTCCTTTGTAAAGTATAGAGTAGTCAGGATAGAGTATCCTGAGGAGATAAAACCATCGCTGCTAAGAATATCCTTCAATTCTTATCCCCTGACGGGTCTAGGTAACGAACTTTTAAAATGGGCGAACACATAAATCTATGTAACTTATATTTAATTATAATTATATATATGTACTTACACTGTGCACTTTTTAATAGACTTTTTGCCATACGCAACCACATTGTGGAATCACTTGTGGAAGCAATTGTATTTAGTAAAAATCTGCTCGTATTTATAGTCACATAGTTATAGTCGCAATATGTTCTGCCCACGGCCTCGGTGGTCTAGCAGTACCGCTTTTCTTCCGTTGGTCGCGGTTTCGATTCCTTGCACGCCACAAACATTTGTATTCGATAGTGTGAATCTCAACTAGGTGCGTGGATGTAATCGTTGAAAATAATAATAAAATACCAAATTTGTTAATTAAATTGTAATTATATGTTTTTTTTTAAAATATCGATATAATCAGCGCTCTAACAAATATTGAAGAACAGTAAACAAATGACAGTCGTAATCTAGAGAACACAGCGTTCTGTATTTGAATATTATGAAATAAATTATTGAAGAGGTTTTAATACTTATTTTTGGAGGAGTTTCCAACATTCATGAGTATGATTGTTTGTAGTGGTCTGGGTATTTTCTATATATAATATGTATATATTTACGAAAAAAAAAATCTTGCATTTGTATAAGTCATCTAGTGCCCATAACACAAGCTTTAGCTAGCTTAACTTGAGACTAGATGGCGCTGTGTTAATTGTTCAGGGTTATTTAGTTATTTATTTATAATCACGATAGGACTTTGTATTTATCGATAGGAATTAATGTTCTTTTCGCCAAACGAATTTTAATCAAAACGCTTCAAGTATTATTGCAGTTTAACTGCACAGATGGTCATGATTAAATGCAAAACTTGTCGTTCAGATATCTATATCGATAAGCAATCTACTTCCGGAGATATTTGCACAACGATAGAGTAATAAATAGGTACTTTATCATCGACTTTGTATCGATTGGATTTTCAACTGATATCGGTGACTTAGACTATTGAAATGAATTACATATTTTAACGGATTGATATGACATGGTGTTCAGTCCTATGGTAATGGTATACGCTCGCGGGGTACCAGTAGAAGTAGATGGAAGGACAATATGGTTAATTATTATTAACCGCAGTAGTTTTCAGATCGGCCAAACAGTTTACATTGCACAGAACGGGTATCTCAGTATCTACCCATTAGCAAAGCGAGGAAAAATATAACGCATAGACCTTCAGTCTATGGACAACAAGGGCGTACCTTATAAAAAAAGTACCCATTACTAAAATCCCATTCACTCCTCTAATATAGTTTATATGTCATGTCTACATAGATATTTTAATATACATATATATTCTGTGTTCAGGTATATGAGATGCGTTAACAGCAATATGCGTGACATCCAACCCTTCGAAGACGTGCCACACAAGCTCTCCCTACAACTCAGGCGAGCGTTGGTCGCTACCAGGACATTCCATAAGTCACTGAGGGCTGGTGCCGATGTCGTTAGGAATATGGTAAAGGTAGGTGCATTATTTTTTATTTTTACGTAACTGGATACATGTTAGTTATAACATGTTAGTTGACAACTCGACAGAACCATCAGGTGTGATAATATATCTGTGGTTCAAAGTCCCAGTCCAACACTGTCAGTAGATGTTCATGAGCGGGATTTTCATATAATGTTAGATATAAACCTATATAAATAAACAATGCAAACTGGCTTTTAAAGAAAATAATATCAATTGAGTAGTTGCAAGTAATTCCTATGATAGATGTAATGACCTCATTTCATTCAAAGAGACAGAATAAAATCCTTTCAAACAGTAGCGCAAACGGGATCATCGTTCCATTATTAACATTACAAAAACAGATTCTATAAACTACTTATTTATACCACTGAGATAAATTCCTTTATCTACATTTCCACGAGAGAGATCAAAAATACCGCGAAATATACAATTCGAGACGAGGCGTGTCTGGCGGGCCATAATTTAGTTAATACAGACAGGTAACGAACGTCTAGTAGCGGACATATTGAATTAATGAAGTTCGCGTATTAAGGATGCAAATTATCAATCGAATCAATATTCAGGCGGCGTCGCGCCACCGACTCGATTCTTATTTCTGACATCAACCTTTATGAGTCATAACTCTGAGCCGAGTAAAGCAACGTTCTGTCGTGCGATGATCCCATCTGGCGCCTGGAATGTGTTGTTTCACACTAACAGGACGCATGCGACTATAATTATTAATCATCGCAATTCCTCAATTAATTTCCTTGTAAATAATTATTTCTCACTGACACGGCAGGACGAATATGATTGTATTTATTAATCACGTTCTAATTCCTCATTTAAATTCCTTGTAAAGTGTTATTTCACACCAAGAGGGCGAATGCGACTGGTTGTGTATCATGTCGCGATACCTCAATAACATGGAGACGACAGGACTCTATGATTGTAATTATTAAATAAATTGTAATATGTTACGTTATTATTATTATTAATTTGTCATTATTATTATTATGTTTTTTTTTCTCTTCTATTCTAGTGCCATCTCCCACCTTTTGTCTTTTCTCCTCTACCCAAAGGTTGCCTGGAAGAGATTGCATAAGCGATAAGGCCGCCTTTTGTACCCTCTTAATTTTAATTACTCTATTAATGTAATTTTCTTGGTGCAATAAAGAGTATATAAATAAATAAACAAATAAAATATATTGCAATTCTTCAGTTAAATTCCTTGTAGTGTTATTTCACGCTATCAGGACGAAAGCGACTATAGTTAGTAATCGTGTCGCAATTTTTCAATTAAATTCCTTGTAAATAATTATTTCATATAGACACGACAGGACGAATATGATTGTATTTACTAATCACGTTCTAATTCCTCATTTAAATTCCTTGTGTTGTTTCACACAAACAGGATGAATGTTTATTAAACATGTCGCAATTCTGACACGACAGGACAAATATTATTTTAGTTAATTTTTTACTTTATCTCGAGTTTGTAAAGTGTTATTTCCAACGCGCGACGGGACTATTGAAACTAGAGTTAGTAATCGCAATTCCTTAATATTTATTTGTGAGATGAGCCTTTAACAATATAGTAGGTACGTAATACAAGTTATACAATACATACAGTGTTAAACAATAGAGTAAAATAAGAATATCTTAAAAGGAACAAAACATAAAGGCATATAATAAATTATACATAGGTAGTGCGTCGCTTACAGTCCCTATTACTAATAGTTGTGGGGATTAGTAGTAATGCGTAAAACCGTCAACTCATATTTATGTATATAACTATATAACGGTGTAACTATATATCATTATTAATAACAAAAAACATAGTATAGATTTAATAACTTTACAAATTCCGCGTGGTCCGTTCCATATAAATCGGACTTAGTCTAAGGTAATGATTAATACATAAATGTTGTGATTATTTTAGCACTGACTAAGGGTATGAAGTCATTTGTGCAGATATGTCCCTAACTAATTATTGTCCCATCAAACAACAATGACTTATTATAATTCCATTGTAATATAAATAATTGAGGAAAATATTTTTTTTTATTAATCGAATTGTAAAAAGGTGCCGCTTGACCTGAATGGATTGTTGTGTAATAATTATTTTATCTAGATCTGGTTGGACTACTCAGCCTTTTTCGTAGACAGAAAATATTAATCTCTCTTTCTCTCTCTCTGGAGAGGGGAAGGGGAGGAGTTGTTAGTATTAGGGATTAGTGTCCCCATTGCTAGCAATGTGTCAGCAACAGGACCTTCACATGGTACCCTCAGGATAACATTCTGATTAAGTCCTGACGAAGTTGTTACTCTGCGCTAACTGTCCCTACTTCAGGCTCACCTATCATTTTCCGCTGATACACCGCCGGCGGGAGCACCATTCCGTCATTATCTATACAACAAACTTGTGGTGACGCATTCCATCAATGATCAATATCATTGAAAGAAGAAAGAAGTAAATTTCAATAAAATTAGATTACTCAATTTTCGGAGTATATTATCAGAACCAGTATCAAAACAATCTGTACTAATTTATTTTATGGATAAAAGTTGAAATTATAAATATTTGTCCAAGAGTAAATTAAATTTTAAATGTAATGTAAATAAAAAATATGTAAGTGTGTAATTAATTAAGAAGCCAAGATGGAGCTAACATGTTCACTATTATGATTCAAAGCCTCAAAATGAATAAAAAAAAACAAAATCATTATCTATTCAAAACACATTGCACTTTGAACTCCCTATAACGCAACTAAGTATAATATAATTATTATAGAAAATTATATATAGTTTTGTAGTTGTGTTTGAATGCCAACAAAAACATATATATTTCTTTATACCTATTTCTTCTTGCTCAATGTCAATGATTCGGGTCCTCATTTATTGAGTTTTTTACTGTTGAGTTACTTTTTTGTCTACGTCGCATAGCGGTCATGTACAATGTTATGATATTGCACTTATTTCATTTCATATTAATAGACTTGTCAATGTTTTTTTATTAAAAAAATCAGACTTCAAAAAACGACAAGGAAATTCAATTAGTCTGTGGTTTTTGTTACACGATCTTTACCTATAGTGCACCGACTAGATGAATACTATTTTATATTTATATGTGCAACTAGCTGTACCCGCGACTTCGTCCGCATGGAATTTAACTGTCATTTTCTAAAATAAAAGTAGCCGAGGTTACTCCTTATTACATCAGCTACCTGCCAATAGAAGTCCCGTCAAAATCGGTCCATCCATTTCAGAGATAAACAAACAGACAGACAAAAATTGTAAAAAATGTTAATTTCAATATTACAAACAGACAAATGAAAACGTTTCCAAACGAATGAAAAATAGTCAATAAAATACAATAGTATTTCTTGTATTTATGTTAAAACGGGATATTTTTACTGTCTGACAGACAGATATATAACTATTATAATACAGGACATTTTGATAACGATTTTCATTAATTGTAGAGTGATATGATGTGTATTTTATTGACTTTATGTTTAAATATTAGTTTTATTAAGCTCAGAGGAGATTATCAATTCTACTTACTAACTTTATTATTATTTTGACTCGTATAGTTTTCGATTATATTCGTGCGATGATTCATATATATATAGTGCCTACTACTAATACTCGTTTTATTTAATAAAATCGTAATACCTACGACAGATAAAAGGTTATTTAATATTCATGATATTCTTAAAGTGACATTCGCAACTAAATCACACGCTGATTTGGAGGACGATTCCATTGTCATCCATTAAAATACATCCATTAAATTACATTTTATATTTTTTCGGACTACTCTAATGCTGTTGGCCGGAGCTAGCCTTTACAGCTTCACCGGACGATAGGGGGCGAGTGCAGATGACACTCCAAAGTACTTATGACTTATGGAGCGGCAACTCCCGCCTGGCGGATACGACTTTAGTCTGTGGGCACCGATAACGGTTCGATCCTCGGCTCAGGCCGTCGTAATTTCGAACCCCGTTGGAATTGGACTAAATTAATTGGGGATGGGGAATGATTGATCAGAGGGGCTTTTTTACATGAAGTCCATTTGTGTAGGTGGGTGTAAGCAACGAGTGCGTGACAGCCTGGGCCCGCCTGAGCTACTGCGGTACATGCGGCGGGCTCCCGCACCCGGCCTGCAGTCGATACTGCCACAACGTCATCCGCGGCTGCCTACCAGTACATGCTGACCTCAACGAGCAGTGGGACGCTTATGTCGGTGAGTTGTCACATCAGTATATTAATTTAAAATAATAATAAAATGTAATTATTCCATTCCATTATTAGCATACTCAATTTTTTTTTTAACAATAATTGTATTGTAAATATAGTAATACTAGCTGAGCCCGCGGTTTCATCCGCGTTAAATTTCAATAAAAAATATAGCCTTAAGTTTTTCTGATACATAATATATATTACTATAAAGTCTCATCAAAATCCGCTCAGTAGTTTTTGCGTGAAAAAGTAACAAACATCCATACTCACAAACTTATACTATATAAAGATAATATCCGAGGACAATTCACACAGCGCCATCTAGTCCCAAGATAAGCAGAGCTTCTGTTATGGATACAACGGATATAAATACTTAGATATTTTTTTGTAAATACATACATAATATCAGAAAGCACTCAGAACGATGCAAACAATTATATTCATGAATACAAACTTGTAACCTGTGAGGAGTCGAACCCGCGACCATCGGAAGGAATGAGCTATGCTACACCGCTAGACCACCGAGATTGGTAAATAATTGACTATTTCATTTCCAGATGCCGTAGACAAAGTGGGCGACCGCTTGCTCGGACCGTTCAACATTGCTATGGTCGTTGAACCGATTGACATCAAGATCTCAGAAGCCATCATGAGTTTCCAAGAGCACAACCAGGATATCTCTAAGAAAATATTCACCATTTGCGGACAACCAACCCTAGGCAGCGGAGACAGCATCAGGCACATCCAACCGCCAGCGCGAAGGCGCCGGTTTGTCAGATCAATACCAGATTTCGACTGGAACCCGAAGACCAGTGATGTAGATGACTTCGAGATAGAAGCGTCCTTTGAAAGCATAATCAATGAGGATCCGTCGCTACTCGGTTTGAAGACGCCGGAAGGCATCAGGAAAGCGACGAAGAAGATGGCCGAGCAGGCGAAGTCGAGGGAACGTTTCCTCCAGTACATGAAGGGGAATATAAACTTGGACGAGTATGAAGAGAATGAAGAGAGGGATAGGAAGAAACGGGAGGCGGATCCAAAGTCAGCTGGAAGCATGCCGCTCGAGTATGACGAGTATGACGATATATATTCAACGAATGCAGTATATACTAAGAAGCCTGCTGCGAAGGTTGACGAAGGCACCGGTAAATATAGTTCTTATGTTTACAACATTATTACTTAATGCATTTATATCGTTTTGTTTAATTTTGATACCATTAACATGTGTGAGCATGACCATAATTGAATCAATCAGATTATTGCACGGTTTCTGATGAAATCTTTGAATTTCTTGGCTTGTTTTATACTATAACATATATTTTGTATTGTACATATAAAGCTTCCTCTTGAATCACTCTATTTATTGCTAAAACTGTATTGAAATCTGTTCCGTAGTTTAAAAGATAGCGGAAACGACTTTATTTTATACTGTACCGATTTTTAAAAGTATGTTCAAAATTAGACTCTATTATTTTTGAATCAGCTATTGAATTATCTATTGTACGTTACACATATAGTAATATATAATTGACGTGCGTTATTCCAGAGGCGGAGTGGGGCGCGCCCGCGCTGGAGAAGCTAGTGCGCGACACGCGGTCCCGGCTGCGCAGCTCGCGGCACTACTGGCTGCACCTGCCGGCCATGCTGTGCACGCACCCCAGCATCACCACCACGCCCTGCTTCAACGGCTCCCACGCCACCAGGTGACTGCACCATGCTGACTTCTTTTATATCAAAATTTTCTTTAAAAAAATATTCAACGATTTTAAAAAAACATGGGACCAATCTAAGGTAACATCATTCAAACAATATTACCTGATGACTGCAATCGAAAACATACTCTTTCGAATAATCTTGCCAAATTGCATCTTACTGCCTACTTAAAATAATAGATGGTGTTGTATATTGCTAACATTAATAGCGTATGTACACCCGCAAGAACACGTGGACTCAACTAGTTACCCTTAAAAAAATACCCCATCCTAATCACTCTTATTTTAATAATTTTAATGCATTTTGGCAGCTACACGAGGAGTCTAGCGGGCGAAGGCAGCGAGGCACTCGCGTCGAATCCTGAGGTCCGTGGCGAGGTGTCTGCCAAAAGCGCTGAGCTCATGAGGAGTCAACACTCCTCTCTCAAGTTCCTCACTGGGCAGCTCAAGGATGCGTACAACGGGGTCGAGGTGCAGTGGGTAGGAGAAGGTTAGTGCCATAGAAGTTCCTTTTTTAATTAGAGTGATTGTCATATTTATTCCTATAGGACTCCTTCGGCCACTTATATAAGTAATATTTTTTATATTTGTCTCCGTACCGTTAGATCTGCTAGGAACGTCGTTGAGAAGAACTAGCATGAAACTCGGCTGGTACATTTTTAATGTTATTTTTTCATTTAATGAGTATCAATATTTAAAAAAATAATTAACGTTAATAATGTTTAAATTGTGCGAGGAATCGAACCCGCAACCATCGGAATCAAGGTGGTGTGCTAAACCGCTAGAGGTCGTCAAATAAAGATGAACTCACTGAAGATTATTTTGTGCACAGATAAACCACAATCAGTAGATCCAGACCGACAAGACCTGGATAGCGGGTCAGGGTCGGGCTCCGGCGATGATGGCACCGATGACACGGAGATCATTGAGGATGATGATGATTACCCAGATGGTGAGTAGCAATAGTCTTTTTAATGGAATAGTGCACCCGTCTGCGTGAACGGTTTTGTTATCTAGTATTCAAAATAAATGTAAATACAAATACATAAAAGTCATCCAGACAAATACAAACAATCATGAAAACAAATCGTCGGTTAAATAGAAAAATGACAGTATTCAAAATGTAAATTTTTTTTACAAGACAAGCATTTAAAGTTTTTATTTTATTTATTTAAATTATTTTTTCCTTTAAAGTTTTAAATTTACACAGAAGTATTATATATCATTTTAAAAGTTTATATAAAAGGAGATAATTCTAGCTTCTAATTTTGCAAAATGACATTTTTCTATTTAATAGAAAAAATGTTGTATCGTGCGAGGAATCGAACCCGGCCATCGACCATCAGAAGTAAATCAAATTAAATCAATACCTAATAAATTATTCATGTTCATTATGAAAGTAATTTTTTGTATTAATATTTTTCCCTACAGTTACCGTTATTTGGTACAGTACGCTGAACCACCAAGATCCTTACAATAACAATACTTCTTTCTTACAGCCGGATCAGGCGAGAGACCACCGGAAGAACCAACAGTCATCGATGATAACGAGCGGCGCGTTCCAGTATCAGAACCGCCCTTCATCCCGAACGTCATCGACGGGCCCGGCACCAATAACGTGAACATCCGGGGCCGGAACGAGGAGTCCCCGCCGAAACCGGACGGGGAACCGGACCGGACGCCTCCCGTCGACCCGGTGGCCGATTCCGCCGACCGGCCGTCCCTCCAGAAGGCATTGTTCACGTACGCTCTGCCGGTCGTCTGCGCGTGGTTCGGAACTATAGTCACAGACTTGTTTTAAGCTACAGCCACAGACAAATGTGTATTGAAATAGATGTCGCAACTCCCGCAATCTACTTTAATTGAGCTTAACTGTATACGATGGACAGACAGACTTATATTGAAATAGGTGTCGCAACTATCGTAATCTATTTAAATCAAACAAAGAGCGTATTCCTTCTTAAAAGGCTGGCAATGCATTTGCAATTCTTCTGATGTTGCGGGTGCTCATAGGCGGTGGTAATCACTTAACATCAGGTGATCTGCGTTTGTTTATCTCCTATGCTATAGAAAGCTAAATCTTTAATCATATAGGTCTATTAAGACTTATGATAATTCGGTTTAGTAATTGTGCCAATTCGTTGTGCTTTTGTGATATTTTCTACACATTTTTTTTTAACAACGCAATGTTGATCTAGTCCATATTATGTATATCATAATATGCAAGGTTTCTTATTTAATACCTTTATGAAAGCGAAACATTTAAATGGATTTTTTAAACTGAATTATACGTCTTTTTCCGAAGGTGATTCACTACTAATATTTTCTGGGATTTCCCAGACTTAGAGCATATTTACGCTCTCATTTTAATATAGATTGTGGGTGCGTCGTCTACGTCTATGCGTGTCTGTGGTTTTGTCACTGCCATTGGTTTCTGGGGATCTAGTTTGTACAATAATATAGCTACGAGTATCAATTCTGAATTAGGAAAGACATTTCTGACTAGAAATGCAGTCTTCTTTAAATTAGTTTTTTGAATATTAAAAAATAGAATATGATTATGGACGATATCAAAACTAATTCGTAAATCTTAGAACATTTAAAATCGTTTGTAAAAGGCACAGTGCCTTTTATATACGACTCATCTGTATATGAAAGAAATAGTTGATAACTAAAGGCACTATGCCTTTTATATACATATGAGTCGCATATAAAAGGCATATTACCTTTAGTGATCAACAATCATTTCGTTATAGTTTAACTGAAATTATAGATATTCAAAAGACGAAATGAGATACATCTAATACACTCATAGTCTCATTTTTATACTGTACAGTCTGTACAAACCTTAAAATATAGAGTACCTACTAATTTATTGAAGTAATTATATATTTTTTATACTTGTGTGGTATCTAAGTCTTCAACTGATCTCTCCCAGAAATCAAAAGCGACTGATATATATATAAACGTGCGAATAAGGGTAATCACACACTTCCCGATTATTTCTCAATAAAGGGTTGCTATTATAGAGTGTTTTCCTCTAGAATTAGGATAAAAATTTAAATAACTATTACAAATATGTGAAAATAGAAGAATAAGCCGGGAGGTGTGTGATTGGGCTAATACATAAATTAGGATGGTACGATGTAGGTAGACTAGTCAGTGCGAGCTATGGCCGGTCGGAGTATAGCGCGTTGCGCTGCTGTGATATATATGTATATATATTCTGGACGATGAACTGGACTATGTGCCGACGATGGACTAAAAAAAATTGCGTTTACACACCTGTGTACATTAATTTATTAATTTTATATGCAATTTCATTTTGCAAGTGAGCGACAATAATAATGGGCTTTCGTTCTGGCCGCATATATTTTTTTTTTCAAAAATATAATTAATTTAGAAAAAATTCTGCCAAATTAACATATTTATTTAATGGTAATTTTTTTTTTTGTAAATAATAAAATGTAAATTATAATTAATAGATAGTGAATGTTTGATTTATTCTTTTATGTGTATGTTGACGTATGGATGATAACGGCGACCCTGGTACTACATCAATTAATTTTTTTTAATGTGACTATAAACACATACTGCTTCAAATTGGTCTGGTTATTATTTAAGAATACTGCTATGTATTTATTTTAAAAAGAAATCTACCCCTTATAAGATAGAAGAAAAACTAAGGTATCCTTATATTGAAGCAATTACTACTTAGCCGGGGCCGCCGAAAGCGAATAAATGTTTAATAACCATAAATGTAAATAACGATTAATTAATCATAATTTCTAAACATAAGAGACTGATTTGTTTCGGAGTAATTTGTTTACGTAAATCATTCGAACCTGATATTGAATATTAACATTTAACCGACTGATATATATATTTATAGTTCGCATTTTAGTTTAGTGAGTGGCGGGGCGAGTATATTAATCTGTACAAACTAATTACTCTGTACGATTTAGTGACCACAGTTTAGCTATTTACATTTTGGCATCTATTTTAAGCTGTAAATAAATTATTTCTAATTTTCAAAGTTTGCAAGTTTGTAAGTGTAAGCCGCTAACAATAAATCAATTCTATTTTTATTACGTTTATAGTAAAATCTTAAAAAATATTAATTTTTAATACGGCAGCATGATCTATTATTACCTTGGTCTGTTACAATGAAATAAAAAAAAAAATACATCATTATTTGTAAATGTAAAAATCAGCCAATCGCCCGCCACAAATATATGTTATTGTAATATTTATCGTTTTGGCTTCAGCTTTACTTTTGCTAGTGATTTTAATATGTTCTAGTTGAATAATCAATTTATTTTGTATATATTATTTGTTAGTTGAAAAATGAGTCTGACTTGAATGATATAATATCAAAATGAAATATATATTCGTACCTACTTACAAATGTATAGTCATTATACAAGATTATGTGAAATATACAAGCTCTCAACGGCGTATATATACTTAAAATCAAAATTGACACTACCTTTTTACTGAAAAAAAAAAAATACAATGCATTAAGAAATATGAAATATATTTTATTTGCCTTTTATAAATCTTGTAATACATCTGCATTGTCTATTTATTTAATTAAAACATTTATTCAATAACTATTTATAAAGTGCTCTTGTTAAGAACTAAAGCCATGCAAAGGCTTACTGAAATTATGACTGTATTTTTTTTTTATATTTATTTTTAAATATCTCTAACGCAAATACATATATAAAACAGTTATAATATTTCCATAACTATAACTTATTATATGTTAAACCTATATAGAGAAGGCACTTTTTAAATAGTTATTCAGATGTTTGTTTTTGACACATTACGGATGTTGTAAGATATAAGGCATTGTGATCAGCAGAAAATAGAAATAAATAGAATCGGTAACAATAAACGCAAGTGTTGGTCACTTGATTCCGTTTTGTTTTATTTTCTGCTCTCTAATATAAATGATATGCTGTTATTATTATTATTTTTACTTAAGTAGTTTTTTTATTCGTAATCAAAGCTGTATGTTATTCACCCTGAGTTTCCAGCAAAATGTTACTTGTATGGTTTTTGCTACCTTTATATTTGGGAGTATATGTCTTTAATTAGCCGCAAATATACAATAATATGTATATTGTACTGGATGTATGTCGCACAAATATACTAATATAGTGTTATTAATATAAAATCTCATATCAATACTGTCCCAAAACGAAATCATGAAATAATATAGTTATATTAACAAAAATATTATCTTAAATTGTATATAAACTCTAGATATTTTATATTATAATTTTCCCTGAACATTGTTAATATTAATACGATATTGTATGTATTATGTACCTATATAATACAGTAAAACTGTACAGTGAATAGCAGGCTGACTTTTGACATAATATATATTATCTGATATATATCGAATCTATAATATTGTTGAAATTTGTTCAAAATGGAAATGTTACAGATATTTAACACAAAGGACCTATATATATATATACATTGATATCCATCTAGCATTACGCCAGATTTTATGATGTAAATAATGATGACCTATAAATAATATCACTATTTATAGGTGTTTTATTGGTTCTTATTGCCAATAGAGAGATTTCTTCCATCCAAAGTTTGAATGATTGACAAGAATATTACTTTCTATTTAATGAGATTTGATTTGATAGTCAGTCAGCCTGCAGATTTTTGAACATTTAAACATGTTTATTTCATTTCACCGGTACTGAAACATACAAAATAGGACGCTTCCACAAATGCGTGTCTATGGATTTGAAACGTACGAGTTTCGGGGACCAAATTATTTCAGTATAATGTGCCATCTACTTAGCTATTATTTATCTATGTACATGCTAACATATGTAGGGTTACCAAGCCTACAGATTCGGCCCGGACATGCTCTACATTATATATTCAATAGAAAATTTGGCCGACTTTTATAATATTAATGATTTGGAAAATATAAATTATCTCTTCCCATATGGGTTTAAACGTGTGCTACCAAATGTATTCGTTAATATCCCGAATTTGTAGCAATGTTCTGCTATTTTAGTCTCGAATTTTAAATGGTAACCCTAAACGTGTCACATTGATTTAACGCTTGCACTAAATGTTTCAAGATTAGTGTTTTATCAATAATATACGATTACATAGAAATGTGTGTGTACGAGTTAGATACAGTTATATTTGTCACATCATGGATGAGTAACGTGACCATACTTTTTGTCAGAGAGGGACGTCTAAAAAAAACATTAAACACGTTCTTCTATAAGCTATAAGCGTCCTATTCTTGTGGTCTGCCAATGTCCCACTTCTGTGTTCTAATTTCAAAAGAGGGACATTATTTGACAGAGTGGGACAGTAAACAGACAGCTTGAAAGAGGGATAGATGGGTCACGTTATGGATGACTAACATAGCATAATATAATTCAAACCCAACTTATATATGTTGTAAATATTATTATATTTAACATTATATCATAGATAAAAAATTAATGATCAAATTGACATTGGACCGATGATTCATTTTAAAATGTTCTAATAGAAAATATTACACGCTTAACATGATAATGTTATAACACAAACAAAAAATGTTTTTGTAAATTCATTCTAAAGTCTTTAACGTTAAAGTCTATTTAAAAAAATATGGTTTTATTAGTTAATTCAATTGTATTAAGTGAGCTATATTCATTATGTATTATATGCCATATTTTGTATATATTACTCGTAATATGGAATAAAACTGAAGGTGTGAAAGGATCTCTTAATCTCAATATTATTACTTAAGGGATCATATTTCTAGAATAGCAGTTTAACACACAGCCTTAGCTACTAATGATCCTGGATTTATATCCTTATATACAAACATTGTTTATAAGGATATAAGGATACAAATATTGTATAATGTTTGTATTAATAAGTATGACAGCACTTTAAGCATGTTTTGTCAGTTGACTAGTACTCATAGGTACTAAGCTCTAGAATAAAAATCCATGTCAAAAAATAGCGCTCCTTCGGATTTGTTCCATATTCTGAGACTTATTAATAAATTTATAAATTAAGATCTGATGTACATTGCGGTAGTTATGTGCTGATAAATGTATTTCTAAACATATCGAATGATGAAAGTTATATTCAATATCTTATCTCCCGCCTAACCCGTAAGGGAACTGGCGATATATTACTTTATCTGTTATATAAATTTATATCGTATCTTACGGAAAGGAAATGCAATGTTTGTAAACAAATACCTACCTAAGCTTGACGGTCCTAAGTTTGACGGTTGCAACAATGGATGGCTTTCATTTTGTGATTTATTTTATCTTTTTACAAGATTTATCGCAAAGTTGACATTAGTTGCATAAAAAATACAGTTACAAACTAACAAATATGTTTTATAGGTTGACTACGTGTATAACAACTGTTACAAAATCAGTCATCGGTCCGTATGATTAAATGTTGCTAGATAAATGTAGTTTTTATACAGATGAATGAATAACAGGGTAACTTGTTGATGGAAATACGAAAGCTTATGCTGTGTAAAGAGATGACTTTAAATCACGGAAGGAGTTTCTAATAATTTTGCATTATCAATTACTTTATAAATTTTCAATTAAGTTGTACGTGTGTTGGGAAATAAACCTAGTCAGCTTTCTCGGAGACATTGTTAGTGCTGTATGTGGCACGAACAGTAGATATTTTTTCTCATATACGTATGACTTAGATTTAATTGGATGCTTTTATTGTTTAGTGATTCGAAATATCATAATAAAATGAAAATAATTTATATAAAGTAAATTAAATTATTGAACACAATGAAGTCTTACTAATATTAATATTTATAAATACAATTATTCATAATTTCTGTAACACTTATACATATCAAATATATCAAAATAATTGGAAAAATTTCAACCATGATGGACTGATAGGATCAAGGAAAATCTTATATAACTAATTATTGACAGTTGAACCATATACACACATTTAAATAGAACTAAAATTAATCAGTAGGCTATTTACATGACATTATGATATTTGGAATGACTCGCAGTTTGATATTATTTGATGCAAATGTTATATTGTATTCGATGTGCAGAATGCGAGCCAGTGAGGAAAGAATGAGACCGAACGTTTGTAGGATTAACGAATTTTTTTATAAAGATATATTATTATGTAGGTATAAATTTGTGTACATAAATAAAACGATAACATGTGTAATTATGTTGTTTCATTTTTATTGTATATAAAGGAAACCTTTGTAGGTCAATACCCATATTCTCACGTGTCCATCATAGCGACCCGCTCGTCTCAGGATAACGGGACTTCCCTTCCCTCCCCCTCATCTTGAATACTTTTGAATTGAGGGAAGACAAAACTCCTGAAACGGCTAGAGTCGCACCCACTCCACACATGTCTCAATGATAGTGGAGTCACTGTAGGAGCGGAACTTTGGAGACCCATTACCTAGTAAATCACTTGTGACTTAGTTTAATTTCGAAAGAGATATATTTTGGTCTGAAGAGACTCGAGCCAAGATATAAAAAAAAGTTTTTCTAAAAATAAATTACATACAGCAATGTGCTTACTTCGATAAAACTAATTAAATTAAATTTATTTTAATCTATTATAGGTGTTGGATTACAAGTCCGTACAAAGAAGAAATAAAAATAGATAGCGACTAGACTTTAAAGAAAAGAATAAAATATGTACTTAAATGGAAAAAGTACTAATAACTAATACTAACTAATACGGAGCGTCCATTTTCTTAAGTAATTTAAATGGTCACATGTTTTCATTGCCGGCCAGTATTATCGAACACACTTTGCTCTTGTAAACAAGCCGGCGCCGATACAACCTGCTTATATTAAGTTTCCTAAATTCGGACCAATAGGATTTCAGCCATACATCTAATTAAGTGTTTGAAGTCAGTGGAAAGTGCTAATTAACTGTCGTGACATAGAAACAGAAAATTAAAACAATTGCAGCTGCAAAATTTTACCTAACATTATTTGAATACCTAAAAATATATATAGAAATTTATAAAAAAACAAATGGATTGTTATGTATAATTTATTATATACAAATAACACATGTACATAATATCACAAAGTTTGCTTACAATACTGCTATAATTCTTATAACTAATAGTCCGACGTTATAAATACGGTACACACTAGTTAATAAACTGAACTGAGATAATGTTAGCTGATTAATTGGTGCCACTTGTTATATATGCACTATGACGAATGTACAGCCTTGGTGTCTTAAATATTCACTACGCGCTTCATACAAGTGTTCTGAAACGGCACAGATGTTCGAATTCGTTATGATGATAACAACACTATGAATAATAATAACCATGGGCAATTCACACAGCGCCATCTAGTCCCAAGCTAAGCAGAACCTGTGTTATAATGATATACATACTATTCTTTTTGTACATTCATAATATATATAGAAAACATATGTAATATAATAAATGCATATATAATATACATAGAAACATTCAGACCGACACAAGCAAACATAGTCATAATTATATTTTTTATTTTTTTCATCGAATATTTACATTTTACATTGTTCCCTGGTACCTAAATTAAGTGGAAACTTCCCTTTCCTTCCTTCCTCCTTTTATCCTCCTTCCTTTTAGGTTCCAGTTCTCTCTTACGATTCATAAAAAGAATTAAACAAGAATACAAATGTTTGCACCATGCGAGGCCATCAATAGAATTACATTAGCCGAAGGTTAATCGTCATCAGAATCTTCTGAGTCGTCAGAGCTGGAGTCGGAGCCAGTGTCGCCCGTCTCTGAGTCTGACCCGAGCCAGTCAGGCAACGGCGGCTGCGCTATTATGGTTTTCCACTCATTCAGTTTGTGCAGATCTGAAATTGTATGTAATTATATGTATGTCGTAATTTCCGGTTCTGACAGCGCCTTCTATAATACAACTATTATAGAACGCAAGTGGCAGCAAACGGACCACGGCAAATCCATAGAATGCTAAGAAGTTCGTCTCTCTTTAACAAATTATTTAGTTGTAAAATCACTCACCTAAGCTGTACATATCGCTGAGGTAGAACTGTTTCTCGTCTCGTTCTAACACGCCTCCATATAAGTAGAGCGTGGAGCGCTGCACGCACATCATGGCGGACATGCGCGCCGACGGGCCCCCGCGCCGTCCGCACACGACCCCGTCCGCACTGGGAGACGGTGTAGTCGACGTCGGCAATGCTGTGCCTCCTAACTTCATTGTGAACACCTCGTCCGTCACAACTGCACAGCGAATAGGAAATAATAATACTAACTCAGGACAATTCACACAGCGTCCTCAAGACCCAACTATGCAGAGCATGTGTTATCGGTACTAAACAACTACCGAGCAAGAGTCCAATTTCGTCAATCATGTCCTCTGGGTTGAAAACTTCTAAAATGGATATTATGAGGTTCAAGAGTAGAATCCTTAAAAAATGTGTGGGACATAATGTTTTTATATTAAAATAAAATCTTTATGTTGACATTTGTTCTTATTTAGGAAATTCATATTAACATCATGTGTGCCGATAAATTGTTTGTCAAGGTCAAATTATATTAAACGAAATATCCAAAATCACTTACCAGTGACTTCTTCTTCTTGCTTGTCTTCAGAAACAACTTTTTCTGGCTGTGCAGGCGATTGTGAACTCTGTTGCTCAGTGCGTAGAGTTACATTGTGCCACTTGGCCGTCTCCAAGTCTATCATGAGTAGTTCATCGCTCATCTCCCCTTTGAGCTCCTCCTCCGTTTCTTCTACATCCTATTAACAATATTAAAGTTTTCAAAGTTCACGACACCACATCATATTAACAGGACTTAATAATGGAGATGTGGTAATAATCTAAATTCATATAATATTATATAGTATATAGTTCGGGATAACGTCCTACATAGAAATTCATCCGATTTTGAAAATTCTTTTGGTGATGGATAGCCAATTTATCGAAGAATACTACAGGCCATAAAAAATGTCGCGAAAACAGAAAAAAGATTACCGCAGGCGAAGTTGCGCGAGTCAACTAATCATATGTAATGAGAATTGTGAAGAAAGAAATAGTTTTATTCTCTATTGCGAAAATCATTCATTCCAGTATTTATTTACTCGTTTCTGTATTTAGTCGCTCATTTGGTATGTAGCTACAGCTATAAACAAAATTAATAAAACGAGTATACCGATCATACTCGTTTTTTGTATGATAGCTGACACCGTGACGATTCTTAGTTACAATTAATTATACAGATTTGAAATTAAGATTGATATTTAGTAGGCTGTTGATCTATAGTTAATGTTTTATGAATATTTTATCCCTAAATACTTATATGTAGGAAAATGAAAAAGACCACTCACCGTGACGCCGCCGAACACGTACGCGCGGCCGCTGTGCGTGTTGACGGCGGCGGCCTGGCCGGCGCGCGGGCCCGGCGCGGCCCCGCTGCCCGTGCTGCGCCACGTGACGCCCACGTGGCCCCCGGGCCCCCCGGGCCCCCCGGGCCCCGGACGCGCCGCCAGCCGGAACATGTCCGTGTGCGTGTGCGTACGCTCCGTGCGGCCCTCGCGGACGCGAGAGAACCCGCCGTATACTATTAACTGAAAGACAAACAATCATTTACATTGAAACCTATTTGTCATTAATCCTAGAGTGGAAATATGATAAATTAGTTTCAGTAATGTTTCTTTTGCGGTATTATTTACAATTTCGTTATAAAGATCGCAAAATCAACATCCAAGTTTTCGTAGACCTTTGATATTAGTATTATTAGTTTAAATAGCCGAATTAAATATTAGATTAAATTATTATATTATACACTATACCGCGACCATCGGAAGTAAGGAAGACAGTGTGCTAAACTGCTAGACCACCGAGGCCGAGATAAGGAAGCATACACCTTAATCTACATATGTTTAAAAATATTTCACACTAATTGATCTGGCGACCATACTGTATTAAACCAGCATCAAGATCATCAAACGAGAACTAACCCCATCCGCACCGACGGGCAGCATGATGCAGGCGGAGCGCGCGCTAGGCCCGCGGCCCGCCGGCTGTAACTTGGTCCAGGTCCTGGAGTCGAGGCAGAAGCAGTGCAGGTCGTCGAAGTAGCGCGCCTCGCGGCCGTCGTCCGCGTACCCGCCGAACACCACCAGCCGCCGCCCCACCGGCGCCATGCGGTGCCCGGACCGCGCCGACGGACCGTGCGGAGCTGACACCTACAACCCAGCATCATAGTTAATGAACCGGGTCTTCCGCATCCCCCTAAGAGTGTGTAGGTTATTTTTGAATGGATGATAAGGAATGTTGAACTGTTTACGCTTTTTACGTGAAAGGGGATTGTTAGTAATGTGGATATTGTTGTATTATGTGATGTTTTGTTGCTAGTAACGGGGTTATTAATCATAAAAATAATGCAATGATCCACCCGCCTGCGCGCATAATATGAGCATAAGGTCGGGTCAGTTAGCCCATTGTGACAATTACATCAGAAATTTATCATGATGGTTTCCATGGGGAACTGCATGGAGTTCAACCTGATAAGGTACGTAACTAGCAGTGGGATCATCAATCCACATTAGTAAAAATCCCCTTCCCCAGAGGGTGAAGGTTGGGGCCTCAGGAAGAACCCCTTTTCCTCGATGTCAAGTCTGGGGGACAACAACCCCAAGGGGACTGAATATAAGTCTTATGGGCAGGAAATTTAACATACAATTGAGTTATGTAGACTACGAGAGACAAAATATACAGCTTAACATAACTTAGAAACTAGTGCTATATTGAAGGTTTTTTTTATTTGCAATCTATTACAATGTGATAAAAGAGATTATTAAATATAAGAAAACAAAATATTTACCACACCTTTTCCCATTTTTTATCAGCAAGAGAAAAGCACCACAGATCCTTGTAATGATAGAACTGTGTCTCTGATGGACTTGTGAACTCTCCACCAAAAACCCACAGCTCACCTCTGAAAGTATACCAAACAAGATCTGCTTGTGTTTCTAATTTTAATTTGTTCAATGTATTTATACCACACTGTTTGCAAACAATGTGGTATAAAAAAATGAAAGATGAAAAGACTCTTCTATGATTTTTTATACTAATTTATTATAATTGTTATTATAGGATCATTTAGAAAAAAATTATACCCATAAAAAAATATTCCTAAAATACATTGTCCTATGGAATGGCAATAGAATAAGGTCTAAACTTTAATTTAAAAAAATATTAATTATGATCATTAGAGTATGATTTTATATTTTGATAATATTTCCAAACCAATAACCAGGAGACTTTGTGTACACGCAACAAAAATGTGACATATCAGTACATGAAAGTGATCAATTGGTATTGAAATTTATGTTAATACCCTCCAAATAAAAGAAAAGTCAGCCTGTATATATATAAGCATACTTATTGGCGGGCGTGGCGACCGCCTGATGTGCACTGCGCGGCGGAGGAGCCCCAGGCGCTTTCACTTTCTTCCATGTGTTATTTACAGGATTATAAAATAGTAACTCGTTATAAACTTCAGTCTGAAAAAGATTATATTAAATATTTTTTAAAAGACTAAAATTCCTGTATAAATGTAGAGTTGTACTTTGACATTTACATAAGTGGATAACTCTAAAACCATTTGTTGTGACAGAACAATACTTGGAACTGAAAGTTTTGTTTAAATTATATAGTTGACAATTCTAGTGGCCAAAAAGTAGCAATTTAGCACACTGTCTTACTTCCGATGGTTACAGATTTGATTCTTCGATTAGATTATTTTTATGAGTATGGTTGTTTGTATCGGTTGGGTGTTTTCTATGTATATTGTGTGTGTATTTACAAAAAAAACACTAAGCTGAAACACAGTTTACAAGTCAAGCTACTAAAATAGGTGAGACATATGTGATAGAGATAACCATGTGGAAGATTTTGTACAAAGTATGCCTTTGTAAAATGCACTCATATTAAAAAAAGTACCTTTTGCCCATTATGGTATTCCCCTCCAAACATAATAAGCTCATTATTGGTTGGGTGAGGAGTGAGAGATGCGTATGCTCTTGCAGATGGCGGCCCTGGTAGAGTCTTCTCAGTGGCAGCAGCCCGTCTCGCTTCCTCTTTCTCAATCTCTGCTATCACTTTTGCGATATCTTCCTGTAAGAGATAGTTATTATATCTAATGTTATTACAGTACTGCTTTATACAGTTATAACTAGAGTATATAATGTATCAAATATTATATTAAGAGTAAATGTATGTTAAACATAAATATTTGACTCTGAAAACTAACTTTATATACGTGTATACAATCATGGGATAGTTATCAAACTTATTTAATTACATAGTTAATTCATAAAAACGATATGAGCAGCATGGACTAACCTCTCCCAAATTTGCCAGCTCCTTTTTAAGTTTATTAGCTAATTTCTTTTCGGTCTTAGCTGCGGTTTTTACAGCACCGCTAACTTTGTTTTTATTCTTTTTCTTTCCCATTTTAATTATCAAAGTAACAGGTAAATTGCTATTAAAAATAAATTCAAGAAATAGTAAACAAAACAAATTGCTTTGGTTAAGTATTATTTATACATTATAACATTGACACTTTATTAGACTTAACACCGCATGTATTTACACTCTGTGTTCTGTAATCTGTACCTATTTATGTTTCTGACGTCTGTGTTACATCTGACAATCGTGTTATATTTTCTGTATATTGTGTTTTTTCCAAATATTTTATTTATTTTTCTTTAATGAAATTATTCTACTAATACCGACGAATTTATTAAGTAAAAATATTATTTTATTTCAAACTACTCAATAAATATATAGATGAACATGTATTAATGTAATTAACTATAAAATAACCAATATATTTCTGGTTATTCGAAGATGACGACAGCTGGTCCATCAGTAAGTGTTTCTTTTTTATAAATTACACCAATATTATATTTCCAGCCTGCACATTCAATGTCTCTAATAATATTTAAAACGAAGTATGTTCTTTTAAAAATAGAATTTAAAGTCTCTCTAATTATATTTAAAACGTAGTATGTTTTTTTAACTAGAATTCCAAGTATCTCAAGTTTCTTGTTACTTAAAATGAATAAACGTAAATGAAACATCTTACTTATTAAGGCACAGGTTTACCATATATTTGGGGCGTATCAGTAGAGAATGACAGGATGATCATGTAGTTAAGTCAGCCCTACCATGATTGGTAGGGCTGACACATTCACCAGAAATAAATTATGATAGTTCTCAGGGTCCTCTTCATGGAGATCAACCTGACATAGTATGTACATGGCTAGAAATAGTCACTAGTCTTTTATTCTCAACAATCTGCAGTCATTAGGCTAGGCCAGTAGTACATTTGCAATTGGAGTTTTAACTTTTATATATTTTTCACATCTATTTTATAATTTTCATCAGTCTAGTGCTGCCGTTCAAGAGTTCAAGATCAGAGTCCCGAAAAATGTGAAGAAAAAGTATCATGTAATGAGATTTAATGCCACACTCAATGTAGATTTTGCAAAATGGACACATGTCAAGATGGAAAGGGAAAATAACATAAAAGAATTCAAAGGATTGGATGAAGAAATGCCAAAGTATAATACAATACTTATTTTTCTATTTTATATAAATATATATTTTTTTATAAATTTATATTATACATACTGACAGGATGAAGTCTGTCTGTTTATTACAATTTTACAACAGCTGAATATGTATGAAAGTTGAATTGTAAGTATAATTTTAAGAGATAAATGACAGCCATCATCATCATCCATCATTTGTTATCATTTATTTCTTAAAATTACCTTTATTTAACTACAAATATTATGCATTTGTATTGTATCAAGAGACTATTGTAATAATACTTTTTTGGTGTAACCACAAATATGAATATACAGATGTTTTAAATGTAATACTGCATTTCCTGTCAGTTACTAGCCCTAAATTAGGCACCCAATTAATTAACTTTAACAAAATCTCAATTTAAAGTTCCTAGACTAAAATGTATGTTGTGTGAAAAAGTTTTGAAGGGTTAATCCCTTATCCCAATAAATTCAATATACAACAGCTCTATGTAGGAATATACATATCAGTAAACACTAAATTTGGGAAAACTGTTGAGAAACTCTTTTAATATTTATTTTTTTTGTGTCCAGGAATCAAAATTAAAAAAAATTTTTTATATGTCACCTCACTGTTTCTACAACTATTATTAAAATATTTATCCCATTATAAATTATTGTACTATATATTTCTTCAACAAAACTATGTGTTCAATCACAAGACAGAAACCAGACTGGATATTACCAAGTATCTTTAATATATGACATATGGAATTAATAATTTTTAGATTCGGCGCTGGTTCGGAGTATGGCCGCGATGTACGAGAGGAGGCGCGTCGTAAAAAATTCGGTATAATATCACGCAAATACAAACCTGAGGACCAGCCGTGGATACTAAAAGTGGGCGGCAAAACTGGCAAGAAGTTAGTAAGAGTATTTTACTGTAAATATATTTTAAAGAAACTTGGCTGGCTTCTTTAGTAGCTTGGTTTTTTATAGAATAAATCTGATTGATCACCCATCCAATTCAAACGGACATCCAAAAGACGATATCCTGAGTCGAAGTTAGAACCCTCTTACACTAAAGTCGTATCTGTCCGGCAGGAGTTGGCTTACAGCCGCTGCTAAGATTTGGAGTCATGGCACTCCTGCTGTGACCAATAGCATTACAATAATTCCAAAAAACAAAAAACAACAGTACAAATACAAGAGTATCGGGTAACTTACCGGAGTGTAATAATAAATAATCCAGATATACTAGTACCAGTATAGATAGTTACCAGATATCGGTTTCATCTATAATGATATTCTAAAAAAATTAAGATTATTCGTAAGTCCAATAAATACCACGTTTTTGTGTATGTAAAGGAGGGTACTACTCTTAAACTACGTCTCACCAAAGGGAAGGGAGGGAGGGGTTAAAAATGCTATCATGTGATTAATGAACGGCTCCCAAGTAGTTACTTTTTAGTAGTATTTGCATATTTGTTTAAGGAACACATTATAATTTGTGTTGTATGTTCAGATTTAAGGGTATCCGCGAGGGTGGCGTGTCTGAGAATGCTGCTTACTACGTGTTCACGCACGCTGCGGACGGTGCTATTGACGCGTACCCACTACAAGAGTGGTAATTATGTTTTACAATTTAATACACAAGATTTTTTTTATAACGTATCTTACTAATATTATGTATATGGATGTTCGTTACTATTTTCACGGCCTTGTTAGTCTAGCGGTTTAGTACACCGCGTTACTTCTGATGGTCGCGGGTTCGATTCCTCGCACGGCACAAACATTTGTATTCTTGAGTATGGTTATTTATATCGCTCTGTGTGTTTTCCCATGTATGTATAATATGTATGTATTTACGAAAAAAAAATCTATGTAGTTGTATCAATTATCTAGTAACCATAACACAAGCTTTAGCTAGCTTAACTTGGGACTAGATGGTGCTGTGTGAATTGTCTTGAGATTATTATTATTATTATAGATTATTTTACTCAAAAACTACTGAATGGATTTTGATGAAACTTTACAATATCACCATTTCTCGGTTTCGATTTTCTTAGTTTTGATTTGATATTTGCTGCTACTGGTAATGGTTTCTATCTTATGAGAGTTTATTTCTATCTTAGAGAAAAATATATATTTTTGTTTGATATCGGTCAGATTAGAACTCTGTACTTTTCGGTCTAAATCGGTATAGTTGTATGGTACAGATTAAAGTTTAAATGTAAAAAATGTTCATCTAATTTTAGGTACAACTTTCAGCCTATCCAAAGATATAAAGCGTTATCTGCAGAGGAAGCTGAGCAGGAGTTCGGAAGGTATATTATAATTTGCCTCTAGTTATTTATATATTTACAAGCAGTAACGACCATTGTTGTTTTGCCATATAAATTAATATCGCTATTAAAAAAATAGGAGTTGATGGAGGAAAAATTAAAATTAAATAAAAATAACAAAAAGTAATGTATTTTTTATCGAGTAAGTCCATTTAGGGTTTAAAAAATAGAGCCTTTCTTTACGAAGGAGTATATTGTTACAAACTCTTGTTGACTTGAAGAAATCCCTATTTTACGTTGTCAGCCATTTTAGCCATTGATTTAATAAGTCAATTGTGTTCTTTTTACATAATCTGTACATTAAACTTACAAATAAACACTGTGACACGGAATTTTATATATTAGATTTGTTTCAGACGCAATAAGGTGATGAATTACTTCTCCCTTATGTTCCGTAAACGAATGCGAGGTGATGAAGGTGTAGATGAGGCAGAGGACCCTGACGAGAAGAAAACTAAAGGAGCCAAGGCTAAGAAGGGTTAGACATATGTTTAGTCTATATTTGGTGGTCTATCGATTTACCACACCCCTTTACATTCGATAGTCGTTTCGATTCCTCGCACGGTACAAACATTTGTATTCATAAATATAATTGTTTGTCTGGGATTTTTGTATATGCATTTAAAAAATGTATTTAAATATAATTTGCTAAGCAGAGCTTGTGTTATGGGTACTAGACAACTGATATAAATACACAGATACAATTTTTGTAAATACATACATAATATACATAGAAAATATCCAAACCGATACAAACAATTGTACTTTTGAACAGAAATGTTTGTAACGTGCTATTATATGAAATAGCACATCGGATCGATCGATCGTGGGTATTCTGGGCGTCACATAACATGAAGCGTATGGTGCTGTTCATGTACCATATATAGGGGAATTTTAGTAATGTGGACTGATAATCTCATTGCTAGCCATATACCATGTCAGTTTGACCTCCATGCGGTTCCCTCTGGAAACCACCATGATAAATTCTTGGTGAATTTTTCACGATGGGCTAACTGACCAGACGTCAAGCTCATCTTATCATCATCCACTGGTGCCCCACCAGCGTAACCCGTTACCGCAGGCGAGTGCAGTATTCCATTATCTTACCCATAATATATACGTAAACGTATATATATATATATATATATATATATATATGTATACGTTTTTTTATTATAGATCTGAAAATATCAGATATGGACGAGTGGATAGAATCCGGCGAAGACTCGTCGGAATCCGAGGCCGGCGAAAAAGAAGACTCCGACTCTGGCAATAAGAAGAAGAAAGACAAAAAAGGTTAGTTAATTTTCAGTGCCGATTTAAGCCAACGCGGGGACTAATAAATTAATAATAATAATAAATTTATTGAACCACAATAATATACAATTTTAAAATCATTTTCGTAAACAATTAGTAATTCTATGAGCATTCATGTTCTGTTTCGGAATTCTATTTTTAGGTTGTAACATAAAAAAAACAATATTTACAAGTGACCAATCTTTCACTTGGTGTCGACTTAGAGAAACTCAAGAATTTTTTTTTATTAATGGTGGAAAAGCTTTTTGTTGTGTGTGCTTTTGTTTATGTTAAAACAGGAGTTTAGCGCGAAGCCCGTAGCATATGGAAGAGTATCTAAATGTTACTTGGCTACCGGACACTGTTTGTTTTTACCACAAAGTGTTATCACACAATATTTTTGCAACCAATATATATTTATTCTTCTCGGTGGTCTAGCAGTGTATCACACGTCTTACTTCCGAGAGTCGCGGGTAGGATTCCTCGCACGGCACAAACATTTATATTCATGAGTATGTTTGTTTGTATCGGCCTGGATGTTTTGTACATATAATATGTATGTACTGACGGAAAAATATATCTATTTATTTATCAGTTATCTAGTACCCATTACATAAGCTTCAGCTAGCTTAACTTGGGACTAGGTGGCGCTGTGTGAATTGTCCTGAGATTATTATTATTATTTATAGTTGCTGCAAATAAAAAGAAGAAGAAGAAGGTAGAAGATGAAGCGTTCGAGGAGAGCGACGATGGAGACGAGGAGGGCCGGGAGCGGGACTACATATCCGATTCGTCAGACAGGTACACCTTATTGCGTTGTAATAAGACTCATGTTAGTATCCGCTTAAAATACAGACTTATTTAGAGTTTTTTTAACTAATCTATATTTCTATCAAAATATGTTTCTCAACTTACTCTGTGTTTATATTTCCCATTATAATAAGCTATTTATTCTGAAATTTACAAATATTTTTCTTTAACTATAGTATACAAATTCTTTTTTTTTTTTTATAATATGTCTCTAATTTCAGTGTGCCTTTTGGCATAGGCCTCCTCCATCAACTTCCATTGACTCCTATCCTGTGCAACTCTTCTCATATTTCCCATTACTAATAATTAATAAAAAGGACTGGTTGCGACATTTTATAATATTGGCGTAAGGAGATTATTAGTAATGTGGATTAAATCTCATTGCTAATGATCCCGATTACTCAGCCTGTAAGGTTGAGCTCCACGCAGTTCCCCCTGGTAACCATTGTGATAAATTCCTGCTGAATTTCCACATTGGGCTAAATGACCTGACCTTATACTCATCTTATCATCATCCACCAGTGCCCCGCCAGCATATACCGTTAGTACTGCGGGTGTATCGGACGCTGACGAAGCACCAGTGGCGAATGGTAATATAGGCGTGCGGTCAAGTCAGTCAGCCCATCGTTGTAAATTCACCATGAATTTATCACAAGAGTTTCAAGGGGGAACCGCATAAAGATTAACTTAACATTGCTAGCTATGTGATCATTAGTCAACATGTTAAATCAGTCAAATCAAAATATATTTATTCATATAGGTCTATTACAGACTCTTATGATATGTCAAATCTACCGTCAGTTCAGAATGATTTCGAGATGAGAAGAACTGACATGAAACGCAGCTCGTATTCTTTTCACGTAATTACATAAATATAGATTTATTTTTAAAATCAATTAGAGAGGATGGAGTGACCACCAGCATATGGTATTGCAATGGTGTCATAAGGGAACACTAATTCCACAACAAGCAGCTCCCGTTCACGAGTATGACGTACGAGCCACAATATTACTAACAATTCCCTCCCTAAATAACGTTTATTTCTTATGTTCAATTATTGTGTTATACATTACAGTGAGTCGGACCACGAGACAAAGGCTAACAAGGAACTGAAGGGAGTCGCTGAAGAGGACGCGCTCAGGTATTATTAACACTTATCTTAGAATAATTGTTCTTCTTTGGGGAACACGGGGGCCTATGCCCCGGGCGGGGAGACAGCACCAAAGTCTGAAGGATCGAGTGAATAATTAGTACCTTTCATGACTAACCAGGAAGCTGTTAACATCAGACGAGGACTCCGACGAGGAGGCAGAGCAGAAACAGGAGTCTGAACAAGAAGACGAACCCACGAAGGAGGGCGAGGAGCGCGCCAGCAAACTCACCAAGAAGAAACGGAAGAATGAAGAAAAGAAAGGTCCGTGTCTATATTTCGTATAATTATTTCTTTTTACATCCATCTATTTATTTCAGATCCATATTATCCATTCATATTTATAGTAAACAACTCATAAACTATGTTAGTAAATAAATATAATATAAATTTAAAATTCATTTAAATTTGTAACGGTTCTTACAAAGTGGTCTGCTCATTCTAATGGCATAAAAAAATTTGGTAATCGAGCATACGGTTAGTTTGATAGAGCTATCAAACCTCATTTACGTTATTACTATGTGACATTACGTAATTAGGGGTGTCATTTAGGTACAGTAGTTCTCACCCTTCATATAAAAATACTTCCAGATGTTATTCCCTATTATTAATTGGTAAAATATTAAAGGTATTAAAGGTAACAACAACATTACTGTCACCCGTACCAATGTTACTTTGACTATTAAACTTGCTTTGACTTCCACGATAGATGCTTATCCTAGTGTGGGGTCAGATAAAATATTATTAAGTTTCCGAAACGAAAGTTATTTTTATTTTATGTTTGTAGCAGATTCGAGTAGCGAACTCAGTTCTGACTCGGACACCGACCCGGAAAACAGCAGCAGCAAGAAGCCCAAGAAAAGCAAGAAGGAAGACAAGAACGGGGTGGCCAGCGGCGCCTCCGGTAAGACTCATTACATTCAAGTTAAAAGCGACCTCGGTGGTCTAGCGGTTTAGCACACCGATTTACTTCTGATGATCTGGGGTAGGATTCCTCGTACTGTGCAAACATTTGTATTCATAATTATAATTGTTTGTATCGGTCTGGGTGGCTACAAAAAATATATATCTAAATATTTATATCAGTTGTCTAGTACACAAGCACAAGCCTTCCTTACCATGGGACACCCCACATATGTGGAGCGAAATCAACAGTTTTTCTGTCTCCATATATGTGAAACGAGATGAACAGTTCATTTCTCTGCACATAATTATGTGGAGAAGCGGCTGGACTATAAAAAATAAAAAGAGGCTAAAAAAATGTGAGAAAAGCCAATGGAAATAATTAATTAATTTATCAGTACAATATACATGACGTCATATAAATATTGTATTTATATTGTTTGATTATCAGCAATAGAAGGTAATGGTTATTCACTATTTGGAACCTGTCCGTCCCAAAGACTTATCGATATTTGTTTCACTCAGCACCGGGCAGCGCGAGCACGTCCCGTGCGGGCTCGCCAGCGCCGCAGGGGGTCGGCTCGGCGGCCTCCTCAGCACACGGTGGCCCCCCGACCAAGCGTGCCAAGCTCGACCCCGCTTACGTGTTGGTATTATTTCTACTATATTGTAAACCTAATAATGACTGATTTTTAGTAAGTTGAGGTTTTAATCAAGTTAATTAATTTAAATTACGGAGAATTAATACAAAGTAAAACTGACATTCTTTATGTCAGAAACTTCATTGTTTTATTTTAGATTTTATTATGTAATGTTAAAATCTAAAATAAAATACTACTTTTATTATTTACACAAAAAAAACAATTAATGATAATCCTGCTAATGTTGTGGCCGCAGCTGACCTTTACAGCAGAAGGACTTATGGAGTGGCTGTAGGCCAACTCCCGCCTGATGCATACGACTTTATTTGTCAGAGTTCAAACCCCTACCGGTACCCGTTAGGGGTTCAAGCCATCGTTCAATTTTGATCCCCATTTGAATTGGACGGGGGATCAATCGGAAATCACAGTCTTAGCTGCCAGAAATCACTGGTGTCACGACAGGAACGAAAAGGGCAAGATAAAATACGTATTGTCCTATTCAAATATATGTATGTTACTAGTTATGGTGTTATCTATGTCTATAAGCTATGGTGGAATGTGAATACTTTCCATCAGGTGGGCAGTCAGCTGTTTCCTATTTCAGATACGTAAAAAATACTAATTTGCTTATATATATAATTTTACAGCGAATGCGGGGTGACCGAGGAAGCGGTACGAAGGTATCTGGCTCGCAAGCCGATGACCACAACGGAACTGCTCACCAAGTTCAAGTCCAAGCGGACCGGGGTGAGCAGCGAGCGGCTCGTGGAGACCATGACGCAGATACTGAAGCGGATCAACCCGGTCAAACAAAACATCAACAGCAAAATGTATTTGAGCATAAAACAGACGTGATTGATGTAAATAAATGTTGTATTTATATATTTTTGTCTTATTTAATAATAATGTCCAACAGTACGTATTTATAGGTAAAATTGAGTTACACTCTAATAGTAGTTCCCGATATTGCGACAGTGTTTCAATCGCCATGATCACGGGTAAACTGAAGAAAAGCAGGTAGTTTTTTCTTAATTTTACATATAAAAAATGACCGCGTCTAAGTATAGTACTTAAGACTTTTACTGTAATTTATTTATAAAATATCTAACAATACAACGGGTTAGTGTTTAAAATGAAAGTGATGGGAAATCAACTGATTACGAAAATGTATCCGGCTCGATGGACTATGTCCAAAATGTTGACTCGTTTATTGAAAAATCTAAATTGCATTTGATTTTTGTCCGTATATTTTCTTAATATCTAAAGAAGAACAACAAATTATATTAAATAAACATCCATGTTAAAATTTGACCAGACCCTGTTCATTTACCAGAAGTAGACTAAAAAGTGATCTGTGTGAATCTCACCTTTTTCAGCCGCCAAGCAGCTTGTAAAAAGCTATGTTGCAGGTTAGGTAACAGTGAAATTACATAAAAAGAGGCATGACAATGTGTGATAATGTGTGTTGTTACTTTACAGTCGATGGTTACCATTTACCATCAGGGTGGCCGTTAACTTATTTGCCATTTCAATTATAAAAAAATAACATTCCTATTTATACTGGAGCAGTATGCGACATTCTAGTAAATGTCCAAGCATATTCTATACAGATTTTCTATCATAAGACTAATAAAAAACTTATATAATCTCAACTGGTTTTATCAAACTAGTAAAAATACATTTCTGTCATTTTCTCCTTAACTGCTCGATTAAAGCGTCTAAACTTTGTACGTATTGAATAAATAACTAAGGGGGTCTCCAAGTAATTGTTTTTTAGCAAATTTTATACAAGGAGATTCTTTGATATCGCCCAATTCAAGTCGCAAACAGATTAAGGGCTGTAGATTTCCTTGTTTGATATCATCAGTGGAATTTCTCTCAAATTATCTTCGCTCTTACGGTTTCTGCAACAAACAACATTTAAAACATTTGAAGCAAAAATACTCAATACTATGAATAATATTACACAAACTATTCTTTGAGAATAAAGAAATTTGAAGAACATTCTTATGAAGACAAAAAAATACATATATACATTTTTTTTTCTGCTATATATCTCTCATAGTACATCTACACTTTTCTTTAAATTTTTAATAGTACCTATATATTGAAGTTTAGCATGTCATACAGGAAAAAAATATTTTCTATTGCGAGTTTTGGGCTAAGAAGTGCTTAGACCTGTGGCACTGCGACCTAAGAAATCTATTGTACTCGCCCTTTTTCAAAGTTCACTGCCTAGACCAGACCGGGACAAGAATTGAAGGATATTCTTAAGAGCAATGACTTTTATATCCTTAGGATAAAGTGAATACATACCCACATAATACTGTTTCCCGGATCAGTCTCTCGCCCTCGGCGATGGACTGAGGCATGGAACGTCCCTTTGTCTCGGGCAACAGGAGTGCGATACCGCCCCCGATGGTACACATCACGCCGAATAACAGCAACGGTAGCGGTTGCCAGTATCGAGCCTGACAAGATTACAAACACACATTTAATACAACTAACGACTCGCTACCAGATACAACCCGTGTAAACGTACAAAACACAAATTAAGTGCTATTAAATGAATTTTTAATAAATACAGAAAATTAAATAAGCAGACATAAATTGAACATATCAAGTGGGTAAAATCAAATTAAAATATCTTTTATCGTGTAGGTCTATTACAAACTCTTATGATATCTCAAATCTACCGTCAGTTCGAAGTGCTTTCGAGCTATTGAAGATTTGTTAAGCAAAACAGCTCATATACTTTTCAAATGAGCATATCTATGTATATACGATTACAAAAAAAGATGCATTATTTAAATTCTTTAAAAAAAGTTTTTGTCAATTCTTCTTAGCTCGATAGCATCGAGCTAAGAATAATCTAATAAAATGATGTACAGCATGATTACAAAAATACAGACACATGTTTAAATTAAATTAGGGAAAATGTAGTTTTTGTCAAATGGAAACAATTAGTAGCCGTAACCAGAACAGACCCAGAAAGCAGCAACTATTCACAGTTTCAGAGTTTCAACATTCAGAGTATATAAACTCACCAAGAAGACTATGTACGATGAGAAGATGGTGCCTATGTAGAAGGTGACGTGTACTAATGAGTTGCCGGTCGTCCGGACCGGTGTGGGCAGCATCTCCGGTACAATCTGCATCTGAGCACTCATCGCCATGTTTACGAAGAATCGCATCACCACCGCCAGTGTCAGCTGCACAGGGCCTGCCGAACAACATTTTTGTGTAGATTTTGTATTGTGTATATAGAATTGCATAAAGTAAATGACGCTAAGTGGCAATCGTCGCCAATTATTTTATATTATTTGCGTATGTAGACAGTGCGTACAATGTAAATTAATAATAATAATCTCAGAATAATTCACACAACGCCATCTAGTCCCAAGTTAAACAGGTTTAACTTGGGACGCTTGTGTTATAACTGATAAATACATAAATATATATTTTTTTCGAAAATACATACATATTATATATAGATAACACTCAAACTGATACAAACAATCATACTCATGAATACAAATGTATGCGTCGTACGAGGAATCGAACCCGCGACCGTCGGAAATAAGGCGGTGTGCTATACCGCTAGATTACCGAGGCCGTCGTATTTAATAATAATAATAATAAATTTAGTAAAAATCATTTCTACAATGGCAATAACATTTTTTAAAATTACCGATACCTTATAACATATCTGTACTTACATACTAAACTATCATAGACAAAATAACCTGAAAAATAATTGACTCTGTGGTTACGACGTGCCCAGTACACATATACATAGAGTACAGAATAATTCGCTACTCGTAGTCGTGGGTATTATTAAAAAATCTTTTAATACATACATTATTATATTATTACGAAAATTAATTTACCTCTTGAGAAGAATGCGCATATAAATGCGAATACGCCTCCGAGAAATAATGTTACTACAGTGACAGTACGACGCCCAAACCTGAAAGCGAATTATATAGTTATATATAGTTGTAAAATGTTAGTAAATTTATAAAGAGAGATATTTTCAGATATAAAATATCAGATATAAATATATATACATCCATATATCTAGTACATGCAGTAGGTACAGAGTGTGGCTTATCACTAATGTCCTTTCAGCTGTATAAGTGGATTTGAATGACTTAATTTGTTTACTGATATGTCATAATTCATTGTATCTTAGATTTAAGAGGGATTACATTATACAATATATTTGATATTAGCATAATATTGAAATAAAAAAGTTTACAATTCATGCCTTGGCCTTCTAAATAGCAAATATCAATTATTTATTATTTCCATTTACAATAAATAAATAAAAAAAACAATCAATTTTAATTCGTTGTTAATAACATCGTTTAATAATTAAGGTCTCATTTTGTCGTCTGCCATTAATCGTGTATAAATAACAAAGAGACAGATAAATATACTTTCGCATTTATAAGTATTTTTTATGTACCTATATTTTATTTTTTATTGTACCTAGGTATATTTTATTTCATAAATATTTGATTTTTTAGTCGATCACTGCTAATACTCTTATACTCGGACAAATAATAGGTATTTATTTGTTTTATTTATCCTAGGAGATGCAAAGACTCTAAGCCTATACAGCCGTTCAAATATTAGTTCAAATTATTCTTACCTATCCAATGTCAATACGACAACACCCAAAGCTGGTAGTTCTGCCGTGGAAGACAATGCGAATGTGATGAAGAAATTGTCTCCGATACTCTCGGAGAGCCTCAAAATGCCATCAAAAGCGATGCAAGTCAACATCGTCACTAGAATAATCACGATCATGCTGTTCCTTAGCGGAACGCTCTGCAGGACAGCTTTCATGGACTCATCTGTTGTATTTGTCACCTTAGACGATGCCTGAAAGTAAGTGTTAGGTATGTTACTAGGGGCTATATGCAGGTTTTTTGTGTATCATCTTCCACTAGTGCCCCGCCAGCATATACCTTTAGCACAGGCGAGTGCACCATTCCATTATCATCAATAAAAAAATATATCGATCATACTAACTTCCCCATTAGTAGTAAAAACTAAAACCTAATAAAGAGAGCGTTATAGGTTAGCGGTTTACTACCAATATACTTTTTTGTGTCCATATGTTCTGACTAATCTTTGAAACAGTTGGACCGATTTGACGGGTATTTCGGAAGAAGTTATTTAGGCTACTATTATTTTAGAAACATTATTTAGTCTTATTCCACGCCTAGTTAATTAGGTCTAGGAGTAGGTAATATAATAATAATTATTATACCTGTTATTAATAATATGGATATTATATTTTTCAATTTAATAAAGTACTTACAATAAATTCAGTGTATACATCCTCTGGAATTTGTTTATTGTTGACCTTCTCGAATTTCTTGAGGACTTTTGTTGCTCTCTTCATTCTATCTGTTGACGCAAGCCACCTGCAGATTATTGCAGTTTAATTAACGGTAGCTTTAATATACCTAATGATAATAATGAATCGGTTTTTACACATGAAAAAATGTACATGTAAATTTAAAGAAAGAACAAGAAAGACCGCGCGCCACCAGTTTGCTCGCGCATGCCTGCTTTCTTCTATCCTGCGTGCTTTAGCACCTTAGTAATAATTAACATCATTGCAAAATAGAGAACATCTAACTATGGAGCAAAGTCATCATTATAAATCTTTGGAAAATAAAATCTGTGTAATATAAAAATATCTTTTAAAAGAAATTGTTAGTACCTGAAACTTACGGCACAAACACGCGCGAAAGAGTGTATATAAAAAATAATTAAAACTCACACTGGCTTTCCCGCTCTATAACACGAAACAACACGCCGTGTTTAAACATACCTTACGCTCTCTGGCACTGTCCAGGGTGTTG